AATGTCTGAGCATTTGACCCTACATCAGTAAACCAGCAAAAATGCAGTAATTCAAGTACACATAATAATTCAATTTAGGACAAATCTCAAAAATTAAAAAAAAAACACTGGTGCATGTAAAACCCAACATACATGAAAGCCAGCTCAGTGGCTTTTAAATATGAAAGAAAATAGTTGTCATCAGAGTCCTAGCTGCATGTGTGTCAGGATGCCATCCACAAGAGGAACTGTGTAAAACAAAGTTCCCTCGGTGATACTCATGAGTGCTCAAAGGTCCCTGATTTCTCCCTTTCTTTGTTATTATCTAAGACGTTTGGTCCTTGCCACATTTTATAAGACTGGTATCATCAGTTTTAGCTTACAGGTGAGAATGATTGAGGCTTAGAAGAATTAAATCAACCAACTTTATTTAGCTATCAAGTAGTAACACAAGAGTGTGAACCGGGATCTGTTTCTAATAGCCCACATGCTTTCCCCAAGGCAGGTGGGCGCCTCACCACCACCACCCACAGTCATCCCCACCCCCAAGTCTGGCTTAGCAATGCAAGCAACTTGGGGAGTTTTCCAGAACTGTTAGTGAAATCTCTCTCCTGCTTTGGACCAAGCCCAGATCAGAGTAGAATAAGCCTGCCACCTTGAGGCAGGCCTGAAGGAGAGGGTGTGCATGAGATCCATGGGCAACTGGATGGCGAGTCCCTGTGCCTTCAGCCAGCTGTCTGCCGGGCTCTCTGTGAAGGACAGGCTGCCTCCCACACATCTCCAGAAATGAAAGAAGCCATCATAGCCCAACATCAGAAGAGGTGATCTTCATCTTTGCAGGAATAAAATGAAAAAAGAGTAGTGAGTTGTAATTGTCTTCTCCTTCCCACCCCTGAATGATCTAGGCATGTATTTTGCATGTGGGGTGCATTTGGGCATGGCCGATAAAGGTAATTTTTGTTCACTTGCTTGATTTTGGGTGAGGGAAAGTCATGCTCAGAGACTGTGGTAGGGCATGAACGAAAGCCACTGAGCTGACTTACTGACATCCTGCAGCTCTGTAGATCCCACCCTAGGCTTCCCCTCATCAAAAGGCTGTACTTGCAGAGCCAGCGCTGACTTATTAATAAAGATCAGGCCTTTATTTGATTATTTATCTAATCAAGATTCATCTTCAGTCTAGGCTCATTAAGCCTGCTGCTAATGAAGTGTGCTTGAGGTGAAATTACACTCGGTGACACAGAGACTGAGTCCAGGCTTCAGGAGCCAGGACAGAAACAGAGCACACAGTAAGCTGGTGTCGACACCCCCTGGGGGTGGGGCAGAGCATGTGAAGTGTCTGTTCACCAATGAGAACGGGCACATTTCACAAGGTTAGTTTCAAATGTAGTAATTAAATACACTTGGTAGCGGCACAAAGGTGACAAGAACTCTCATTATCTCAGTCAAGACTGATAACCAGTCTGCTTGTGTCACACTGGGGCAACCTCTCTGAGGGAACTTAACGTGGGACTTCTGACTTAGAATTAAGATGCTAGCACTCTGTCACCCCAGCCTGACTCCTACTGACTTCTGTCTAGACGTTTTGCTTCACAACCTGGTCTAACCTGGTTGTAACACAAGCCAGCTCTAAAGCCTCTCTCCTTCCTCTCAGAGGAGAGACTCACCATCTTACCTTGCAGGGTTCTGCTGCCACACGCAAACCCTCTTCTACATGACTTCTTGGTAAGTTCCATTTTCCCTAAGGTTAAGAAGTGTCCCAGTACCACAGAGCCACACTGAAAGTGGCCCTGCACATGAGCATAAGAGCTGTGCTGAGGCTAATGTGACCCTTCCTCCAAAACACAACAGTTCAGATTCAGCTTCAAAGTAGACTAAATTACTTCTCAAGGCAGATTAAAGGCAGCTAAGTGCATTCTGCATTGATTCCTCAGTCTCTGGATTTATGCTGAAAGAATTGGTCAAGTAATGTCAGTAAAAAGGTGTGTGTTGGGGGGAGATCCCTCCAGTCTTTTCTTGCCTTCAAAACCTGGCTTATGACCCATTCATGGTGAAGCATGTGGCTCCCATTGCCCCCCTAAACTCATTAAGTAGTGTATACATACTCAATCAAGAACATGTGACCTTTGCCCTTCATGAGCTTACAGGACCCAGAGCTGGACGGACAGGGAATACAGTGAGGTAAGAGTGTCAGGGAGAGCATAGGGGGAGGATATTTCATACTCATTCATTCCAGACACACAGTGTGGGTGGATCTGTGGGAGGAGTTGAAGATGGGACCAGAGAAGGAGACCATGAAGCAGGTGATCATGAAGACCTGCCTGACTAATTCAGTGAAGGGTAGAGTCTAAGTGTCAGTGAAAGAGAGAGGTGAGGAGACCGTGTGAGCGTCTCAGCAAGTGGAGTCTATAATAAAGGCCATAAGTATTTCTTAGTTTTCTATATGTGATAAGCAGTATTCCTCACAGATGATAAGCAGTATCATCCCACATAAGTAGTGGCCCTTCCAGAACCATCCTCTCATGTTGGGTCCGTTCGTTGTTGGGTTGAATTGTGAGTCCCAAATTGTGAGTCCCACATCTGCAGTCCCCAAGGGGCTAGGGCTCAGGCTGAGAGACAGAGGCTCGAAATTTGTGTTCACTCCACGCCAGCACCAGGCAGACATAGGGCTGTGTGGAGCCACAGGACTCTGCTCTGGGGGTGACAGAACACAGACTGAGGTCCCTCAGGGACTGGAGCTCTTGAGTTGGGGGTCCCCAGGCCAAAAGGCGCCCGGGAACTGACTAGTTCTCAAGCCCTTGGGTTCTCAGGCACTGCTGAGAGGCCACAGAAGGACCGAAACAGTGGGGGCTAGATCGGCCCCCAGCCGAAGGAGAGAAGGGGAGAAACTCTGGCTGTGCCCAGTGGGGATGAGATTCTTGGTCACTGCAACTCGCATGGCTGGGTCATGGCTGGCTAGGCTAGCTTGCTTGAGTTGGTGGCCTCCAAGGTTGGAAGCATAGAGAGGTCATTGGAGGGAGATCAGACGATGGCTCCCCACAGAGGGCCCCAAAGGAGAGAGATAGTCCAAGGTCATAGGCTATGATCTTAAGATATTTATTGTCATGGAGGACAATAGATGAAACTATACTCCGGTATTCTCAGGACGAGCCTGAGGTTAAATACCTTTTGCAAGGAGGAGGATCTGGAAAGGAATGCTTAATTGGCTACGCCCCGCTGGTCTTTAGGTATCTCATTAATATGGAGATCTTTCTTGAGGCTCTGTGGCCTGTAGTCGTACCCTCTACCTCTGGAGGGGCTAGTAGGGTCATTGTCCTACATGACTGATGGCCACAGACTTCTGGGGGGGAGGGGGCTGTAGCTATGTGAAAGGAGCCAGAGGCCCAGGAGCAAGGCCAAACTCCTATCGTCCCTGAGGGTCTCCAGGGTTCAAAGCCTGCTGGACCAGGTACCCAGCTGCATCTCACAGCCCCAGACTCTCAGAGGACTGGTATAGCCAAGGCCAACACTCTACAGTCCCTCCTTGGCATACAAAGATTAGCAGTGGGTCTGAATGTAATGGGGTGACAATGAGAGCTGTTGCAAATACAAGAGTGTCCCTTCTTCCAGGGAATCTGCCTCAGTCTCAGGAGCTGCCCTGTAGGTCAGGAACCATGATCCTCACATTTAAAACCTTTTGTCTGGGGCTTGGGAGGTGTTTTAGTTAATTTTCTATTTTCATGATAAAACACTGTGACCAAAGCACTGTACTTATAGAAGGAAGGGTTTATCTTGGTTTACCATTCCAGAGAGGTAAGAGTCCATTACCATGGATGGAAAGTTTGGCAGCAGGCTGGCAAGGCAATTGGAGCAGCAGGCTAAAAGCTCACACCTTGAACTACAAACAAGAAGCTGAGAGCAAAGTGGGAATGGTACAAGCCTTTAAACTCTCAAAGCCTGCCCCCAGTGATAGCCCAGTCCTCGGTAACATGCTTCCTCCAGCAAGATCACACCTCCTAAGCCTCCTGCAATTGCACCAGCAACTGGGAACCAAGTGTTCAAAAACTCAAAACTATCAGGTGCATCTTATTCAAATCACCATAGCAGAAGAGAATAAAAAACAAATCACATCCAGACTGGTGTTTCTGATCACAGCAGGCTGGAAAACCATTTACAATTGGACTTAAAAGTCCTAATTCTGTTATATTCTCTCCGCTCCCTGTTTCCATCTGAAGTAGCCCGTGAAATGCCTGCTTTCCTTTCTATTTATTTACATGTATGGCCCCTTTCCACTCTGTTAACTTCTTGTTTAGAGACAGTGTTTCATGATGTAGCCCTGGCTGACCTGGAACTTGCCATGTCAATTAGGCTAGCCTTGAACTCACAGAGATCACGCCTGCCTCTACCTCCCCAGTGCTGGGATCAAAAGCATGTGCCACCATGTCCCACCTTCACTTCATTAATTTCTAGAGAGAAGGAGCAAAAGTCTTGTCAGTCTTTTTAAACCACTTGTCACTTACCACCATCTTGCCACCAATGAGGAGTTAGTGAGCATCTGCTGAATAAGGCATGGTTTGCAGTAAGGAACGGCCTGTACATTTCACCTTCCAGCCTTTCTGGTCTCCCTTTAATCCCAAACCTGAAATTTACCAAAGAGCCCTTCTTTTCACATGGAAAAGTATGCATGCAAGTGAAGATGAGAAGCCTGCTTGCAGTGATGAGTCACAGAAAAGAGTCCTTGACAGCTGCATGAGTGAACTCACTGCTCACAAAGAAGCAGGTGTCTGAGTCATTCAGTCAGTATTCTTACTGGAAAGGGAACGCTCATTGTATGAACCAACTTTGCAGGATCCGTGCGAAATAAATCTTGCCTAAGCAGTAACGGGAAATATGGCATTGCAGTGACATTCAACTTGTCTTTGAAATAGGTGACAAAGAAAAATCAAGGCCAGCAAGCCAATGCTGCCCACATCGCTAGAAGAGGAGGATGTCCACTGTGAGACTTCTGCTCCCAAACACTTTTCTGTGCTTCACTCTTGTAGGTGGAATTGGCTGTGTGGGCCGAGACAAAGGACAAGTTCGGAAATGCCTTGATGTGGTGGAGATCTACAACCCAGATGGGGACTTCTGGAGGGAAGGCCCGCCTATGCCAAGTCCCCTCCTCTCACTGCGAACAAATTCCACCAACGCAGGTGCCGTGGATGGGAAGCTTTATGTCTGCGGCGGATTTCATGGAGCAGGTACTAGCCTCGATATATATACGTCATGGACCTCTGGGCATTGACTTTTACCTCCATTACCTGATATGATGGTCAGTGTTTGCTTTCCCGTGTAGTGAGGCACTGGCAAGAGTCTGGCTTTCAGAGCCCAGTGGCCTGGAACTGTTCCCTAAATCCTCTGGAGATTTACCTCTGTGAGATGGTGAGGATTCTGTGGGATGAAGTTTATAATGCATCTAGCACATGGCAGCCACTCAGCCCAGAGTAGGTGAGGATGGAGAGAGAGAAGTAGAGGAGGAGAGCAAATTCCTTTAGTAGGACTAAAAGAAACATTTCTGAACAGAAGGGACATGGGAGCAGAGGAATGACCAGAAGTGTTGGGGGTTAGGCTTTTAGCTAACAGAAGACTCTGACGCTGCCCGCTACCATCAAGGGAAGTAACTTGCTTGAAAGCATTTGTAAGATGATGTGTAGTATACATACTTATTACTGAATGTACACATCCAGTACCGTCATTGCGTTCTGCAGCATGGCACAGGAAGGCATTTAAACATGGATGGATCTAGAGGCCAATGTCTCTAAAGCCTCATTGGCTGCATCAGTAAATAAAGCAAAAGAATACCTTCATAGTAGACTGACTAGCTGATTCTGACCTTACCAAATGAAGTGTTAGGCCAATATACACCCATGAGATGCATGCCCCAGAACACTTAGAATTTTGAATTTTGAAAGAAATTAGATTTGTCTTCATTTTGTAAGCATTCAGTTTTAGGTAACTAATTTAGAGAATGAGGCCTTCTTTGTGGATTAGAAGAGACTTAGTGGGTTAGGGAGTTGGCTCTGTTGGTAAACTATTTGCCTTGCAAACATGGGGACCTGACTTCAGTCCCCCAGAACCCATGTAAAAAGCTGGAGACATGGTGGAGCATTCTTGTAATTTCAGAGCTTGTGAGATGGGAGGCAAACACAGGCAGATCACTAGAGTTCCCTGGCCAGTTAGCCTAGCCTGCTTGGCAAAGTTCCAGACCATAGGGATTCTCTCCCCGAAGGCACAAGGTACCCGAGGAACAACTCTGACACAGAGTTGACACCTACACATGCACGCATGCATGCACACATCCACAACAACCAAACAAGAAACTTAGAAGACATATGAGGCATGAGTCAAATGCAGGAAGTTTTTGTTTTTTATTCAAACCTTTTATGAGAAGCTTTCTTGCAGATAGTCTGGGAAATCTAAATATGGACCAGGTATTAGATGATATTAATGAGTTATTTTAGGGATATTGTATTTTATATAAATCAAAATAAAAAGAATATTCTTGTCAATCAGAAGTTATATGTAAGCATTTGTAGGTGAAAATAATGCACTTTCAGAAGTCTTCACTACTGTAGCAGCAGATTTGATTTTAAATATGTGTGTATCCCACATGAGTGCAGGTGACCTTGGGAGCCAGAAAAGGGATTTATAGTCAGTTGTGAGCCACCCAACCTGAGTGCTGGAAACTGAACTCAGTTTCTCTAAAAGAGAAGCAAGTGCTCTAAACCACTGAGCCATGCCTGCAGCCCTCCAGCAGACTTTTCAATAGAAGGAGGAGCCAGCATCCTTCTGGAGCACTGACGGATGTGGTCGGTACTAGAGCTGGGTAATGCATGCTCAGGCTGTGCTGCCTTATTGTTTCCCTACTGTGTGCTGCAAGGTCCCTGCAATCACAGACTTCACTTGTCCTTTAGAGAACTTTCCCAAAAGGCCTTTAAATGTTTTATTGCATTTTATTTAGTGTGTGTAGTGTGTGTGTGTGTGTTCCGTGGTTTGAGTGGAGGTCTAGGGGCAACTTTTAGGAGCTGGTTGCCTCTGTGGGTCCTGGGGATTGGCACTTGAAGGAATCATATAAAGCAGAGCAGCCAGAAGAGCAGGGACAATGCCAGGAGAAGCTGCAGCCAGAGAGATGCAAATCAACGCTGTGCTGAAGGAACAGGGATGAGAGTGGAGAGATTTCTTGGAAATTAAGACCAGAAATTGAATCTACACTGGTGATGTTAGGAAAGATAGTTGAGGAAACTTCCAGGAAAGCAGAGTAAAGAAATAATTGTAAAATCAGAGGAAGAGAAATGAAGTCCAGGAGGCCCAGTCTTGGCGTAGCAGGACCCCGACAAACAGAACAGAGAAAGTGGACAGGATGTGTCGTCCACAGATATGATAAAAACCCCAGAACTGAAGCTCTAGTCTGAAGGAAGCTAATGCCCCAGGAAGCAGATACAAACAGACCAAGTCAAAACGCATCACTGTGACATTAGAGACAAACCAAAGGTCCTAAAGCACTCTGAGGGAGGGAGAGTTTAATCCAAAGTACCAAGAATCAGAGTTCAGAACTATGATGTCGGAAGCTAAGAGAAAGTGAAGCAAATGTATTCAGATGCTCTGCAGAAAACTATTTTCCACCTACGCAGTCTGACCCTGCTGGGCTATTAGTCGAAGCCAAGGGCACTCTCCCGAAATGTAATGTGTTAGAGTGTCTCGTCTGTGACCTTTTTAAAAAATCAAGATATGTTTCAGCAAAACTGAGTGTGTAAACCAAGAAACAGTAGATCTCAGAAAAAGGATTAAACACTGTAGAAATAAAGAGGGACCTCTTGAGAGGATGAGGTAGACCCCAGAAAAACAGCTGGTGTGCGCAGAGCTGAGCAACTGCTGTGCCGAATGGAGCTAGCTCTGGGCTGTAGGCTAGCTCTGGGCTGTGGGCGGGAGGGCAGGATCCAGCATGCGTGCTAGGAACTGAACGCTGGTCACTCTCAAGAGCAGCATTTGTTCCTAGCTGCTGAGAAATCTCCCCATCCCCTAACTCACAATGTTTTTAAATGTTTTAGACATTGAGAAAGGGAAAGTGAAAGCTAAAAAGCGTAAGATCATAAAAATCACTATGCGTTGCCCCTTCAGTATCCAGTGTGACATTAATCCTGAAAATCACGGGAGAAAGACCAGTTCCACAATGTTGAACCAAATTTGAAGCAAGCTTTAATTAAATACTGGCCAGAATGATGGACTCTGACCAGGTCTGTGTCTAGGTTCCCAGGAAATGGTCATGAGTCATGTTTTGCAGAGGCTTAAAAAGGCAAAACCTCATGCTACTGAATTTCCCATCAGGTCCAATCAGGAACAAGCATACATGCTGATGTATTTCCCACCCATATCCAGTCAAGGACATTTGGTTCAAACAAACTTGTTTAGGGGAGCAAAACCATGTGGCTTGCTATTTCCCAAGAACCATAGAGCCCAACTTTCCAGGAATTTATCTGTCCTTGGGCAAGTGAGGCTTACCTTTTAACTTTAACATCCCCCCTTGAGTAAAATCCTTGACTCTGTGATTGGTACCTGTTTATATTGGGATCTAATAACCACCAGCTTAATGGTACCCAGATAGTAATTGTCATTTAGTTAAGGCATTAGTGATGTAAGAGCCAACAGTGATTAGCAGAAACAGAAGGTTCAGAGGTTCTGTGATGGCTGACATCAGAGTTACTATCCAGAAGGAGCCTGGAAATGAATACAGCACTGGTCGTTTACTTCATCTCAGGTCCTCTTTCCAAAGTGTGTTGTTGTTGTTGTTGTTGAAGACTTTTTTAAGTACAGCCAGATTATAATCCTGAATGGTTTGTATAGAAACAGTAATTTTCTCTTAAGGTCATATAATACCTCCTTGTTCTGCATAAAACAGGCCAAATGTCCTATCATATTGTAGAACTATCTTAGTTAATGAGTCTCTCCGGTGGTAAATCTAGGCCCACTTTCCTGGTATGCCAATTGACATTATAGGTAGCTATTTTGTTCCCCATCTCAGGGAGTTTCCTTTTGACAGCATTTCAGCCTGATGGAGACAAGGGGTGACGTATTCTCTTCTGCGACTACTTCTGGCGGAAACTAGGGCATTGTTGCCAGGGCCCAGGAAGGCTGAAATACTAGTCAGAAACTGTTAGGGGAACCAGGCAATGGTGCATTCATCAACTGCATCTGATGAGCTGACCCAGCTGAAGAGACAGGGAGCGATCACATTGACTGGACTGGTTTACATCGGCTTTCAGCAAGTTCAGAGCTCAGCAGTTTACATTCTGTAGCGGATTCCTGGATGGTGTCTGTCAGCCAAGTGGAAATCTGCTGAGACAGATATGGGCTGGGAATAAAAGATAACGTTTAGGATCTTAAAAGAAAATCTTACAGTTGGAACTTTCAGGCTCATAGTCCTGCTAGTTGGGGGAGGGTGGGAGTAATGAGAGACCTAGTAGATCTAGGGGAAGAAACTAGACCTAATGTTTACATATGAAATGAGCTAACAAAGTGACTGCAGCCTTGGTGGAAGGAGCAGTTGCCTGATGTTGACAAAGCCAGTCTAACCATCAATGCCATCAGATATCTGAGAAGTCTACATTGTAGGAGGCAGTGTGATCCAAACAGCCTGTGTATCAGTGAAAATGACAGAGACTAGTCCGTTACCTAGACAGTATTCCCAGGCTCCTGTGGTCTCCATGGCTTCGCTCTGAGGACAGAGGTACCAGGGCAACATCAGTCTTTGGCCACCAGACCCAGAAGATGTGAGGCTTTCCTTTGTAGGAGGCGCATGGAGGACTGATCTTACTTTGTCTAAGCAAAGTGGGACAATCAGCTCTTTCCTATCCTCTTGTCTATGGTTTGGGTCTTAGCTGCAGACAAGGCAGTGTTTTCAAGTGATCAGTGTTACCACAATCCAGATAGAGCTGTTGTTGTGCCCAATCATCTTGTTGGAGACCTTGGGGTCACTACTAGGAGCTGGGGTCTCTGTCATGCTAAGTTTTTCATTAAACATTTTAAATGCCATATTCAGCAGATCTCTTAGGAGTTTAAGTATATTGAGCTAAATAAACTTTGCTTGTTTTTAGTTACTTGCTTTAGGCTTAACCTTGAGAACATATACAGGTGGCTAAATAAGACTTATTTCTGTAATTTAATCAAATTATTACTTAGATTGACTACAAGTATAGTTCTGGAC